GCCCTGGTCCCTCACTGAAGAAAAGGGGCTGGTTCAGCTGTGTAACCTGAGCTATGAAGGGGTCCAGCATGGAGCTTGTTGGCTCATTAAGGCTTGAGGCAACACCTGATAGATCACCAAAAGTCCCAGCCCAACCTACTCATAAGCTCCAAGGCCAAGCCATGAGCTGCAGGGTGAGAACATCAGGCTGGAGCTAAAAGCACTTGATTCCCTCCTTCCTTTTCTGCTCTCCTTCTTTCTTGCCTTGGTTCCCTCACCTGCACAAGGGTGTTATGATAGTTCTTTTTATAGTTTACTTGGATCCTTGTGATTTAGAAGTGCTTTGTAAGACCCAAACAGCCTTACAATGGTGTGATGGTGCAGAGAAAACATCCTGATCTCCATAGGCTGTTGCCTTGTGCTCTGGTAAATTCAGAGATTTGGCTAGTGATGTTCATGTAGCTTGAAGGAATAACATGATAAATTGCATCTAGCTTTGGCAAGAGGGTCTTGAAATGACTGTGGAACTGAAGGACCAGCAAATCTGGGCATCAGGCTAATTTCTGTCACCCTTTCCTCAGGCAGCAGAGGATGCACAGTAACTCAGCTGCCAAAAAAAAGTGATACCATTAGCTTCCAATTCTCCAACCTCTAGAGCAGATCCTTTCTTTCAGAAAATAATCCCTCTCCAGCCTTTCATGTCTGCAGCTGGTACCTGTCATCATGTATGCAAGATCAGGGTTGGGAGGTGTGCTTCTGTGTCTGAGCTCGCTCTGGATGGAAATGCTGTGAGTTAGAATGGCTTTATAAACCTTTCTTTAACTGCAATAAGAGAACCATCCCTCTGCTTTCCAGCAGAGACTCTTTTCTAGCTGCAATCTGGGGCTGCCTGGTGCCTCAGAAATGCCTCTTCCCAGCCAGAACTGAGAGCTACTGCTCTTTTCCTCTTTTTTCTTTTCGTTTTTTAGCTTTCCTCATATGTTTCAGAAAAAGGCTGAACATTTTCCCTCTGTGTTCCTTGGTCCTGTCAGCAAACACCTGTGACTCCTGAGAATTTAAGAAGTTTGACAGCCCACGGTGTTGAATAAGCAGCCTCTTAGATAAGTACTCGGAGACATAAGGAAGAAAGTCCTTGCTGATAAGGTCTGCATTTCCAGCAGGTGTTTCTGTAACAACGTGTTGGGAAACCAGAGGCCTCGGGGGATGTGGGAAATTAGAGATGCCATAGATAGGGGGACCAGGATCACTGAGCTGCACTGTGACACAGCTGCTTGTTATTAGTGGAGAGAAGATCTCTGCTGCAGCCCAGCTGTTGTCTTTCAGGAGATGCTCCTGGGGCCATCAAAATGGGAGGAGAAAGAGAATTGTTGGTTAAATGGTTAACAACTGCCCTCCTCCTGCATTTCTTCACCAGAGCTGTCATCTAGCTGTAAGTAGCTAAACCCCCAGCATCAAATTTGGTAGGTTTGGGCTTTTTTACATGACAGGGATAGTTACGTAAAAAAGAAAAAATTAAGTCTCAAAGTGAGTATGGGGCATGTGCAACCTGCGTGACTTCCTCTTTTTTTTGAGCTTTCCTAGAAGTCTTCTCACTGCACTGACAAGTCCTCACCCTTTCCCTCACTGCCTTTCCTAACTCGAGGCAGGACCCAGTGTCTGATATTCAATTGTCCCTTGCAGGGATGGTGTCAGTCCGATGTCCCCAGGGTGCTGCTCTGCTGATGAGATGTGACTGTGGCTGATGTGGGAGCTGTTTGCTCACCAGCCTGTGAGGAATTTGCTGGTGTTTGCTGCTGGGCTGTGGGATGATTGCCAGTGGTGTCAGGGACACCAAGGGGTGGCTCTGATCGTGCAGCAGCAGATGCTCCACAGGAGATCCGTGACACTGCCAGAGGGGATCTTGGCCCTGGAAGTCCTGGCACAGCTCAAGCACGAAGGATTATGAGCCTGACTTTCCCCTCATTGATCTGGAGACACGCCAGAGCATTTCTGAGCTCTGCAGATCCAGCCCAAATGAGGCGAATCAGTGGGAGGTCACCACCCCTGTTGGCTTTGCCTCCTGAGGGACATTTCTCTTTCTCAGGTATCCCTCCTATAAGCTCTATGGGCAGCAACTGCTGCTTTATCTGCAAATCCTGACTAGAACAGTCCCTATTCCATCCTGCAGCAACTGCTCTCTCTAGAACATTCCAGCAGGCTCTTATGCAGCACGTGGTCACAGCAAAAATATTGAGCTTGACCTTGAGGTTGGGCAGTGAAATTCTGATGGAACCCTCCAGAGCTGCACCCCCAGCAGCTGCAGCTCCTTCCCCTTCAAAAGGTTTCCAGCTCTTCAAAAATACCCCTGGACAAGAGCTTGTCTCCATCAGTTCCATCCCCAGTTTCAAACCCCGGGTCATGAACAGGAAGACTGGTTGAAAGTCGGGAGAATTGATTTGTTCCATTTGATCCCCTCAATTCTAGCATAAGATGCTTCTGTGGAAGTCTGGTGGGCCAACCCTGATCCTCAGAGTTTAACTGACCATCATAATTACGGGGATTAATTTTTTTTCTGGAGCTTCTCCTTAAGGGGCAGATGAGGGGCACAGACTTGGAGGGCATCTCTTTCCCCATAAAACTGTGCAAAACAGCTATAAACAGCCAGCCCTGAAGTTTTCCTCCTAGCAATGCTCAGTAGATTCCCAGACCTCTCTTGCTCTGCAGTCCCCTTCACCCTTGGCTGTGTTTTGGCTGGAGGAGGCAGCAGAGCTGTGGATGTGTCAGGAGAGATGGGGCTCTCTCGGTGCAGATGGCAATGCAGTGAGATCAGCCTCTGGCAGGAGCTGGAGGGAACGTGTCCAGGAGTCAGGGCATAATCTCTGTCTCTGCCTGATTTTTGTGACATCTCTTTATTTGTTTGTACTTGAAATGTTTTTTACCCTGTTTTTCTGTGGTCCTTTGTGCTCCCTTCTGGAGGACAATGGAATTGTGGGGTGTTTCTGCAGCATTGGCTATAGATAGAGTTGGTGGCTATGTAAGTACAAAGCATTACCCTTATGAATCATTTAATCTCTTTTCCTTCATGAAAAATTATATCTATGTCTATCAGCCCCCAAGTAAGCACCAAAAAAAAAAAAGTGATTTCTTTCAGATGCTGCTCAGCATTATCAGATGGATGACACAGAGATCCCAGTGGGCCTGATTTTGTCTGAGTTTGTGCCTGTTTTACTGAAGGGATGGCCATGAGAGCAGTTGTTGAACAAACAGACAACCAGAATTTGAGTCGACCCTCTTGTCCCAGTGGTGACAAATTTATTCCAGGCCAGAGGAAATCTCACCATCCCCAATTTTCCTGACTTGCAATCTAGACCACTGCCATTTCCAAACCATATTTTCTGTTCTTTAGGGTAAAGGTACCATTTGGCACCATATTGTGTTCCCATTGAGCTCTTTGCCACAAGAACAGGGTGGTTTTCAGTTAGTGTTCTTTTATAGTCTGGAAAAACATTATAAACTTTTGAACAGATTCATAAATGTCAACTTTGTGGCATCATGTGTCGGGGTTTGCTGCAGCCACCTCTTCCTCACAAGTCCTTGAAAGTATAAATAGAAGGAAAAGTTGGGAATGGCCAATTTGAACATTGAGAAAAGGCTGGAGCAAAGCCCAGATCTCACCCTAAGCCAAAGGTGGATCAGGCCTGACTTGTTACAAAGTGTTTTCTCCTCAATGGAAAGGACAGGCAAGGCAGGATCATTCCTTTTGCATCAGGAATGTGGTCTGTCTTATGTCTGAGGAACAAAAGAGTGATTTGGGGGCAGCTGTAATTGCATTTTTGGAATAAGTTCCTGTTCAGATTTAACACTGTGACATTATGCTGTTTATGATGCGTGTAATTAAAACAAAGTAAAAATAACATCTTTTAGCCTGCTGTGGCCTGGTGGAGGAGTCAGAGATATGTTGTGCTCCAAGGAAGAGGTTGGAAAAGAGAAGAGGGTGCAAGGGACAAGTGGACTGTTTTGAAAGACAACTAAGAAGGGGGAGAAAAGAAAACAAAAAAGCAGAGCAAAGAGAAAATCCAGAGGCTATCCATGGGAATAATGGCACTTTGTTAATTCCAAACATATCGTAATTTCTAGACCCTGATGTACTCAGTTCCTTTTGTTTGGAGTCCAGCTGCATTTCTGGTGCATGATAGAGGAACCATGTGTTTTTATATGCCTCTTGTCCTTTTCTGACCCACTACACCACTCTTAGGAGTCTGTCTAGGAAGCCTGGAGTTGGCAGGACTTGGGCTGAGCAATATCCTTGAACCAGTGAAAGGAATCTCTGGCAACACCTGGCAAGATGAACCTCATCCCACTGATCTGCCGACGAGGGAACATCACCTGCTATTACCCTCAAAGCAAAAAGGCAGTGCCAAACCCAAGCAACCCTCCTCTGTGTCCTCCTGCCCAGTCACCAGCCTTTGTTCATGCCAGGTGTCTGGAGATTGGCAGGGAATGAATAACATGATTGACCTGCCCAGGGAGGGGTGTCTCAGCAGGGATTTCCTTGGTTGATTTTATTGGCAAATATGGTAGAATTTTTGCCCAGCTCCTGGACAGAAATTGCCTTTCCTCCCCTAATATCCACACCCATTACGTCCTTTACCACGTGGCTAGCTGAGGACTAGTGCTAATTCACACCCTACTCTAGGGCAAATGGAATTTCTGAGCTGTTTGAAACACAATTTCAGGTGTCCAGACTACTTGAGGCAGATTTTTATGTACTGTAGTGATCTCCCAGGCTGTCCAACAGCAAAGATGATCAGACCTACAAAGCCTGTTGTGCACCCCAAGGCACAGGGGCAGAAGGTCTGGGCTACAGTAAGTGATGTGGCTGGGTGCTGTGGCTTGTGGTGGGAATAACCATCCCTTCCACCGTGAGAACACATACATAGTTATCTCCCTGGCTGGTGATAGTGTGTGGGAGGGAGCAGATGGTCCCTGGCTGGATCAGGAGCTTAAGAGGGAATGTTTGTGAGAGTTCCCCACTCTGGTCTCTAGTAAAGACCTCGTTTGGTGATTTCCACTGAAGAAATGTCAATATCATTGAGAATCTGCAGCTTGGTGATGGATGAAAGATTCTTCTGCCGGTGCTTGTACTGCAGGACTTTGTTTTCATTGATGAAAATGTGGAAATAGTCCTGATCGGAGTAGATTTCAACCTGAGAGAGAGAGACTGTGTCAGATTCATGTGGCCACATGTCCTCACTAGACCTTGGTTCCATCACGTCAGTGAGTGCACCCACTTCAAATCCTGCCAGAGCTGACATGCACACACAGTGCTCACCCCCACTTTGGGCAAAAGGAGGAAATAACTGGGTTTTCATTTCATGATAACATAAACTGGTGGTAATGCAAAGCCTAAACTGAAAACAAATGCAGCATCCAGGAATTATTGCTGGAGCTCTGCAGGTCTGTGCCAAACCTGTGTGTAAATCACCAGGATGCAACAGAGATACTAACAGGAGGCAGAGCTAGAGAGGAGATGTTGCTGGATATAGTGCTGGCAGGAAAGGCAGCACTAGATCCATGAGGAGAACCCAAATATTGACTGGGTCACTCCTATTACAGCTGAGGAGACTGGTGGGGTGACATAGGGTTACCTGGAAAGGCTCCTTTGCTTCGAAGGGGAAGGTGGTGTTAACCTCTTCCTTCCCCCACTGGCTGTCTAGGAAGGAGTTGCAGATGATTCTGGAGCTGGAGAAGCGAGGGTTAAAGTGGAGAGCGATTTGGTCTCCAGGATCACAAAGCAAATTGATTTCAAACCTGAGACAGTGAGAGAAAGAAGTGATGGAGAGCTGTGGAGTGCTGCTGCTGGCTGTCACGAGCCAGGAGAGCTGTGAGCAGAGTGTGTCCTTACATGCTTGAACTGGAACTGGTCTCGCCCTTGACCATGATGCTCCATCCAGGACAGATTCCCTCTGGGTACAGGGCCTCGAACTACAGACAAGGAGGTGCTGCTAAAGCATGACAAGAGGTGCACTGCCCCACTCATTCCTTACGTTTCTTTCTCACCCTCTCATTTTCTTCTTATTTCTCCCCCCTTCCCACACAGGCACATTCTCTGCCTATGTATTTTTGTCACTCCTAAATAATCTCAAGGGCCCCAGAAGGTTAAGAAATAAGGTCGCTATGACATCCAGTCAATGAGGTGGGATTTGCTGTCCCCAAGGTCTTTTGTAAAGAGCTGGATGGGATCAGGGAGCAAAAATTAAAGACGAACCTGAATGTCTTCATTGCTGTCAAGACACAAAGACTCTCTGCTCCTCTCTCTGCCTGAGCAATACAAAATCTGAAGCAGAAAACTTTGTGATGCTTTGCAGCAGAGGAATAGGTGTAGTGGTATCCAGCCTGAGCTACTCCAGCATTATATGGCTGACTCTTCCCACAGGTTCCTGCCTGATCCCCCCTTCCACCTGCTCTCCCTATCTCCAAGGTTAAACTTGCATAAAATGAGCTCAAAAATGTTCCTTTTTGAATAATTCATAGTTTTACTAAATAACTCATTTTAATAAGAAGTGCTTGCCATTTCACCCCACTTTTTTTTAACACTCTAATGATCTTGCATTTCTGAGCATCCCACTCTCCCAAACTTATTGCTCACACTGGCAAAATTTCTCCAGCCTTGGCATCTCCACTGCGAGTTCCATGCCTGTCTCTCCCTCCCATAGCTCAGGACTTTCACTGCCCTGTTTCTTTCTCTGCCATGACTTCCTATTTCCAATGCATTTTTGGGATAAGCATGTTTTGGGCAGGAGCTGAGAGGTGGAGATGGCCAACCTCATACCCTTGTGCCTGGCTACTTTTCGAGGGCAGATTTAGGAACCCACACATGGTCACTCGAAGGCTCTGCCCACACCAGTGTTTGTCCCTGTAAGACCCAGAGAGCTGATGGAGCTGACTGAGTTCTGACTGCAAACAGCAAGTGGTGGTGGAAGCACCAAGGTTCACCTTGCCTTGACCCTTAACTTGTCATCATTACAACAGCCCCAGCAAGAGACACACCACATCCACAGGAAACAGCCATTCCCTCTTTGCTGCCAGCTGTCCCATTGGGGAGGGATGGCCACACACAGGTCTAGTCTGCATTGGTTGTGTTTTGGTCTCAGCTAAAACCCTGCAAGTCAGAGCTGCTGCCATTAGGGCAGCATTACCCCAGACCAGCCCTGGTACAACCAAGATGAAAATCCATCCTATTGCCCTTTATCGAACACCACAAAGCTCAGTTTTGCAACAGCCTGGATCAGACTGACACAGAGGAGCAGCGCTGTATCATCCCTACATCTTTCAGGATTTCTACCTTTCCTGCCCTTCCCTGTGCTGCTTTCCTTTGTCCATCACCTGACCCGTGCCATCACCCCTCACACAGACCAGGCTGTGCCACCTCCTGTCCCCAGCCTTACCCGCAGTGCCATCGTGCTCGCCGGCCCCGCGCCGCAGACCCGCCCGAGAGCACGGCCGGGGGGTCTTTATAGATGCCGCCGGCCAGGAGCCCTCGTGTGCAGGGATTGGCCTCCCCAGGCCTCCGGTCAGAGCGAGCTGCCAGGCACAGCTGGGAGATGGGGAGCGGTAAATCCCGCTGACGCCCGGCAGGGTCAGCCCGTTCATGCGTGCGGGGCTAATCCAGCCCTGCTGCTGCCCGCGGTCCTGAGCTGTGACGTGATGGAGCCCGTGTGCGGCAGCCACGGGGCATACAAGGCTTTAAGGCTGTGATCCAGAGGGGGCAGATGTGTTTAAGGCATGAGGAAAGGATGGGGACTCCCAAAGCTGAGGGAGATACCAGGAGTCACATCCACCGCAAGGTCAAGAGAGAAGGGAAGTGGCAGAGGAGAAACGGGGGCTCCAACAGGGGCTCAGCTTCACCCTGATCATCAGAGATTTCTTTTTCTCTCTGTTTTACTTTTTGTTCACTCTTTGTGGTCACAGCCTGACCTGAAATGAGCTGATGCCAGCTCTGTCACAGCCGTTTTTCCACCTCGTGGTGCCCCGAGGCTCGGGACGCTGCTGTGCTGAGCTCAGCACGCCCCGGTTCTGCCTTTCCCTTCCCTGCTGGGGACAATACAGGGATTTAGGAGCAGGGTGAGTGAGCCTTTGTCCGATATTTCCTGTCATGGAAAGGCACCGAGAAATGAGCAGCAATGAAATGAATTTCAGTGGTGGGGGCTTTATACCGAGAGTGAAATGAATTTCAGTGGTGGGGGCTTTATGCCGAGAGTCAGCACGTGCTACTACGGAGCCAAGCCAGGGGAGGGAGAGATGGCTGCACATCCCCCTCTTTCACAGGGTAAATGCCTTAAAAACACTAAATGCTGTCCTCATCCCTGCATATATGGGAGGCTGTGATGCTCCCTGGCTGGTCTTTCAGGAATCCATGGCTTTCGTGGTTAAAACCCCCTTACTGTATGGGCCACAGTACTGATGTCATTAAATGTGTTTATTTTATTTCCGGCAGATAAGCAGAATGATAACGACTATCCCAGGCTCTGGTGCCCTTGGCAGGCTACTAAAAATGCAAATCTGCCGACATAGAAGCCAACAGCCTCTCTCGGGGCTGAAAAAGCCAAGTCCCAGGCTGAGATTTGTTGGTTTGGACTCTTACAAAATCAAACCTCTTGAAGCTGAGCTCTGCTTTCGTCTCCTTGCTCAGCTCTCAGCTCTCCAGGCGCTCTGCTGGGGAGCACTGGAGCTGAGCTCTGTGCTACAGATGGCAGCATTGGGACGTGCAAGAGAGCTGCGAACCAGCAGCAGAGGGGCTGAGGTGGTATTGGAGGGACAGGGGCATCCCACCCACGCCTCCTTGGGGTACCGTGGGATGATGGCATTGGCCTCTCCAATTTGTCCAGCTGCATCACTCCCCTACTTATGGCCTGAACCCAACGTTGTGTTTTCACCCCTCGATCATCCCTCCATGCTTGTTTCTCCTGCCTGCCAGGCAAGGAACTGCAGGGAGAAGGGGCTGCTTTTGAGGCACCCACCACGATGGTGGGCACAACCAGGCAGTGCTGCTATCCTCTATGTAAGAAAGGAGGGATCTACAGGCTTAAAAATGTACCAAGTTTATCAGAATTATGTTAATGATATCAGTGGACTGGGAAAAGGCTTGGGCACTGCAGGGCAGGTCAGGTTCCAGGAAGGCTCAGCTCCTTCTCAGTAGGTGGATCTCAGTCACCCCAAATCCAGACAGGTCTCCCAGAGCCTTCTCCCACCAGACCAAATCAGGAGCTGTGATTTCCCCCACTCACACCTCCACGCAAGGGTTCTCCAGACTTGCTTAGCTGCCGCTTGGCAGTTACTTATACCTCCTCTGCATCTATTTCAGCTTCTCCAGGGAATTCCTAAAATTCCCCCACGCAAACAGGAGTCAGCCCTCTGCTCCAAACATGATGCCTCGGGACTATGTTACCCTAGGAAGGGTTTGGGACATCGTTTTGTTGGCTTTCCCCCATTCCCTTTCCCCCAGGCCTACGGCTCTGCAATGTCTCCCTGCTCCTGGTTGCTCTCTCCAGCACTGCTGCCTCCAAGCAGCGTCCAGAGACCAGCCATCCCTGTGCCATGTCAGGGCTGGACAGCGCAGATGTTCCTCCAGGTTTAGTGCTGGAGAGAAAATAACTATTTATGGGTGGACACAACCCTTTTGAGTTAAAACTTTGTGCCACAAACTGTTATCTATTTATTTCTGCTGTGCTTTACGGAACCGGCCAGGAGGGGGCTGGAGAGTCCAGGCAAATCCCTGAGATAAATGATAACCATAAGAAAATCACACACGGGTCTAACTCTGACTCTAAAGAGCCTGATGCAACACCCACTGCTGCTCCGGGACAGGGGTCTGTGCTGTATCCTGCACCTCTCACCCCTGCCGTAAGGAGACTCCAGGCTCTCTCAACGCGCGAGGCAGGAGCCCCTTGCAGCTGCTCAGCCTGAGCATCTCAGGGCAGCTCATCGGGGAGCACGGAAAGAAAACATCACACCCTGTAAGGTGGCAAGAGAAACAGGGGAACCTGACACCCCGGCACACGCTGCCGGGTCTGGCCGAGCCTCCCGTGCCCCACCAGTGTCAGCTCCGCTAACGAGAGCGGCCCCAGTGCCGGCGGCTTCTGGGAGCGACGCATTTGTCAGATTTTCCACTCTCTGTCTGCCTGTTAGCGTGCCCCATCATCCCCCCACTGGTTCTGGGGAAGGGAAGGGCATGTCTTCTCCCCCACCAGCTGTCTGACTAGTTGCTGGGTATGGAATTCTGCTTTTACTCTTGTTAGCTGAGAAAAGGAGCCTGGTTCTGTCCCAGGCAGCGCCGTGAATGCAAATCATGGCAAGCAAAATCTCTGCCTCTCGTTGTGCTCTTCCCCCGCGCGGGTGAAAAGGGGAAGGTGATCCCACCCCTTGCTGGGGCCATGAACCCACACAAGTGCAACTGAGGCCAAGCCTGGAGCCTCTGTTGTCCTCAGCACAGCTCCTGCTCGCTGCTCAGGACTTCCCTTCTGTGGCTTTGAGGAGTGGGGATGAAAGGCAAGGCAGTGGAAACACAAAGCATGCCTGGTTTATTTTATTTGTGACTAGCCTCTGCTTAAAAGGAAACCAGCATTATCAGTCCCAGCACTGCCAGGTCAGATGAGTAAATGAAAGAGCAGGGTTTCGTTTATGATCTGGAGCTCGAGTTTGCTCTTATATGGGCATCCCACCAGGCGTTGCCTGCTGCCACCTTGCTGCTGCTCGTGTCAGGGAATGGCCAGGCTCAGCCAGAAACTGAGCCTGGATCCCCTGGAGGTGAAAGGCCTCAGGTAGAGAGTGGTTGAGCTTAGGTTGCACTTACCCCTACTTCCTTGGTTCAGGGCAGTTACATGTGTTACAACACAATGTCCCTGCAGCCAGCACATCCCAGCCAGTCCATACTCATGCCTTCTGTGCTGTTATCCAGCCAGGCTTTGTGAACCACGACTCCATCGTTTCCTGCTCCATTCTGCAGGGATGAGGTGGTAAAACTATGTCAAAGCTGGTCCCATTGTCTCCACCAGTGACTCCAGCTGGAAAGGAGTGGTGGGTTTAGGACATGGCTGGTGTTGGTCCTCACCCATCGCTCCTGCTCTGTGAGGTGCAGGCAGAAGGTAAACACACAACCTGGCACGGGCTGTTGTTTATTGCTTGGGGTTTCTAGAGCCAATATTTAATCATCCATAAATAATTGCCCTGTTGTATATGCAGCGACCTGATTTATCCTGCTCCTCGATGATACCTTCCAAACTCCCCAGGGAGACATCTGTCTCCCTCTTCCCGGTGATTGATGGGGGGAAGGAGAAGAGCTGGCACTTGGCCCCGTTGTGCTCCTCAGTCAGTGTGTGGGTGTACTGCCTGTCCTTCCATGGTGGTCTCTGGCTCAGAGCTACAGCAATGACAGATCCTCAGGGGGGGGGGGGGTCACATGTGAACTCTCCCCACTCACGTTTTGGTTGAATCTCCGGCATCAGCATTGCCAAAACCCCCTTCATCCCCCATCGCTAACTCTTGCCAATTCAGAAGTGCTTCTCAGCTTCTTCCCAGGTGAGGTTTGTCTCTGGGAGCCATGATTCCTTGGTTATTCTATGATTTACTGCCCCAGAACAGAAGGGGAGGAGGAGGAGGCACATCACTGGAGGGGCTGCAGCTTGGTGATGTGCTCTGCCCCTGTGCTCAGCTCTGCGCACAGGTAACAGCACAACCACCTCTCTCTGGTGCTCCCCCCTGCAAGCTTCGTGCCAGCTCCTTGGCCAGGGAGTCCACGTGGCAACAGGCCTGAGCACGGCATAGCTGGGCCATGCTCCACGTATCAAAGCCTGGATTCCTGCCCCAGGGACCAGCGCGTGGGTTGGAGCTGCAGTCGTGCGCCTGCAGGTGGGTTTGGAGAAGATGCAGAGGAGAGGAAAGCCTGGAGCTGTGGAGAGAGGGAGGGAGGCAACCTGGGAAGTTTTGGGGATGCTCTAGGGTTCAGGGAGCAGCCAGTCACAGATGTGTCCTATGTGCTGGAGCCCCTCTGGCTATTGATAGGTTTTGTGAAGACTTTTCAGGTCTGGGGAACATCAGAATTTGTGTTTTTCACCATTTTCTATTGAGATTTATTAACATAAGGAGTCATAGTCAGGTGATGGAATCATACAAACCTTCCCATGCCCACGTTTGACATCCCCATCACCCCTGAAAACAGCTGTCCTACAGGCTGGGTCCTAGAGAAGGTCCACTTTGGGATCAGATGGACCAAAGGAGATGGAAAAACTCAAAAGAGAAAAAACAATGGAACCATCAGCGTCACAAACCTTTCAGCCTCTTCCAGTTAGTTACCCAGCCCAGCTCTGGGTGACCTTCCCAGGCACACAAAAGTGCAAATAATACTTACCCAGGAGGAAGATGTGCCAAGGCCAGAGACAGCACAGCCCCTTCCCAGCAGGCA